TGCCTTAATGCTCCTTTTTCCATCCTTAATGACAACTTCATGTACTCCTCAGACACACACCATACAATTCGTTCAGGAAAATTCACACCAGTAATCTGGTATTCTGTGTGAAGATTTTTTTTGCCTCTTGCATGTGCTTAAAAAACATTTTTCTAAAAAGGAAAACACATCTGCACGTTAAAACAAAGTCTTTAAAGTGAATCGCTATTCCAGAAAATCAAGCTAAGAGAATTCCATAAAAATAACGATTTTCCTTTTTTTTATTCCTTTCCTCAGAAAGGTGATTTGGGACACCTTAAATGGAGAGTCAGACAAGAAAGAAAATGTTCTACGTAGAAGGGTCCCGCCCAGGGGCCGTAGAAGGGTCCCGCATTTTTCTCTGAGTTACAACCTATAGTAACTTTACTATAAATCCCAAGCAAGAAGTGTCCAGAATAACCACACTTCATGAGCTTTGCTGAGTTTGAGACATCCGCATAGCAACAGTCTCGCGATGGGGAAACATTAATGCTTTTTATATTGGTGATCAGCTGTAACATGAGCAATTAAGTACAGTACTAATGGACTATGGCCAGGAGCCTGGTACTAATATTAAAAACTGACAGAGATGAATAGGTTTGGAAGCAAAGCCAGGCTGACAAAGACATTTTTATGAAGTGCTTGGACCTATTTGATTTAAACCAATCACAGGCAAGTTTGGACGAGTCAGGCCTTCAGCGACAATGATGCATTCACAGGCATTGTACCATTTCTGCTGTGCCTTAAATAAAAACACCCATTGATTCTTTTCAACAACCCACACTTTCATTATTACACTCATTAATAAACCAAAAGTGCCCAACTAATATACAAGTAATATTTACTGAGGATCCAGCTACTTTTTTCTTGTTGGAAAATGAAAACATTTACTGGAAACATGAACCGCACCACATGAAAAATAAATCAGTGGATAATGCATAGTAGAGCACTCATTTCTTCTTCATCTTCGAGGGAAGCAAAGCTGGTGGTACGGAAATAGGAAAAGGACCATGTCTGTATATTGGGGTGAAAAGAAGAACACAAGATGACTGGTTGCACAGGATGAACTCGGTCACTGATTTGATGGGAAAGGTTTGAAACATGTCCACGGGCATCTCCCAACTAGATGTTTGCCCACAACATCCTGATCTTTTTCAACTTCTTGAACCTTCTTGAAAACGGTGGCCCTTCACCAATCTAGTCCTGTCTGTTTTATGTTAGTGTAGCTTGTAACTAGCAAGAAGGAATGAAATCTGCCAAGTCCCTAAGCATAGTTTTAGCCAAGAGCTTCAGCCTCTTTGACCAAAGCAGAACACTTTCTCATCCCTGGGGCAGATCTGAGTGTCCTCTGCCCTTCTCTGAACCAGTAAAGAGAGTAAAGAGAAGTAAGACGTAAGACAGCCAGAGAAGTTGCCCCCAGACTTTTCTCCTGATCACAACACATAGGAGCATAGGTGATTCCTTTCAGATCATGATTCGCTCAAAATGAGTGAGACTGGTATAATTCTAAGTGGAGTCTCATTTTTTTTAAAGATTTTATTTATTTACTTGAGAGAGAGAGAGAGCACGAGCGGGGGAGGGAGAGGGTGAGGGAGAAGCAGACGCTCCACTGAGCAGGGACCCTGATGTGGGGCTAGATGCCAGGACCCTGGGATCATGACCTGAGCTGAAGGCAGCTGCTTAACCAACTAAGCCACGCAGGTGCCCCCTGGAGCCTCATTTTTTTTAAGTCAATTGTCTGCAAATTTTAGTACTTCACTATTATTAACTACTAACCACTCAAGACACCCCTTGTATCTGACCACAGCAATGTGAAAGGGGCCTAGATGGTGACAGGGTATACAAGGAAGGATGAAGGACCTTGCTAATTCACCCGGGACAGCTGCGGTCTCATCTGGTTTCTGGCTCTGTGTAGGGATTTCCATATTGGGGGTCCCACTTGGCGGTTGACTATTGTCTCAGCCCCAAATCTACTCTTCTGTGCTCTGCTTGGTGATGCTGGGACTGGGATTCTGCAGATTACATGTCTCTTTTGTCAGCTCTCTTCCTTTTGGGGTCCTGCAAATGGGGCCCGAAGAGCCCAGGGGAGGGGAGGAAGGACTCCTTCTTTCTATTTTGCTTGCTGTTCATTTCAGGGACAACCCAACAGTAATTTAGCAGCAGCAGTTGGTTCCAGCCTCTAGCTTCTGTCAACAATCCCAGAAGTTTTATGGCATTTGCTCTGAGGTCCAGCACCAGACAGGGAGCACTGCCTCTTCAGGTCTGAGCCTAGCTCCGCGGGGTTCCACCTCTGAGCTCAATAACGACCAGCACCGGTTGGGAGCCTCTCCCGGGGAGGGATTTGAACCCCAGCTCTGTGAGGCACACTCTCTAAACTTCTGGGTGGCAACATCCTAACCCTTTCTCCTATTGTCTTGACCCCAGGGAACCTGTGGTTATTTCCTCCATATTAACGTTGTGCTTTACAACATTTGTTTCAATAATTCTCTATAGCAGATTCTCTTTGTTGAATACTTGGTGTTTTTTTTTTTTTAAGATTTTATTTATTTGTTTGACAGAGAGATACACAGCGAGAGAGGGAATAGAAGCAGGGGGAGTGGGAGAGGGAGAAGCAGGCTTCCCGCCGAGCAGGGAGCCCCATGTGGGGCTCGATCCCAGGACCCTGGGATCATGACCTGAGCTGAAGGCAGACGCTTAATGCCTGAGCCACCCAGGTGCCCCTCCTCGTGTGGTTTTTATTTTCCTTACTGCATCCCAACTGATACACACTGACCCAACAAATTCTAGATTTAGCAGAGTGGGTGACATAGCTTTTCAAAAAATTTAATCCAGTGGGAGACCAAACCTATATGAAATACTCCTTTACTCCCAAGAATGAGGACAGAAGAGACATTTTTAAAGAATCTTAAATAATGTTTCCTAGTAGCTAAAGTTTGAGGTATCTCAACTAGAATTTTCCAATTTGACTGATTGAAGGCATTTGGGATTCTACTACTCCAGATGAGGTAAATCATGAAACAAAGGATACAGTCTTCAAAAGAATATATCCTGGTATTTCATTTAAGATTGAGGCTATTTTTATCCACATGACTGCTTGAGTTAATTATACACACACACACTCTCTCTACTATTAGATCCAATCCTTTTTCCATCCCAAACCTAATCTGTTTTTGGACCATGTGATGCTCTGTAATATGTTTGATTAATTTTCATTCTTTAACTGGGTGAACTAGCTAACAGTTGAGATATGCTCTTTTTTGCAAATTTTAACTATCTGATCTTTGAAGTTTGATGATTCAGGTGTCGGGAACATTTGCAGATGGAGGTACGGGAGGTTCACTATCAGCGAACATACAGAGTAGAAAATACAGATAGAGTTTCTAATGAAAATGCTCTGATTAAAGCCTTGACTCAGAAGTCAACACCAAGCTGAATGTGTTCCCTTCCGTGCTCTTTACACAACACTCACCTGAGATACCGATGCTATTTTGTACTAGGATTTCAGTGGTGCCCCTGTTATGTCCAGTGAGAATGTAGGTTTTATATTAAATACTGAGAGAAATAACACTCACATTTGAAAAACTGATGTAGTATACTGAAAACAATGCTAGGAAGAGTAATAATTCGAATTCCTTTTACCATTTTTAAAAAAAATCCTTGTGGATCGTTACCCCGACAAGTAAGGCAATCTCTTGCTACTACTTTGTGGGGATTTTTCATGGGTTACTAAACCCAACCTAGTTTACTATGATTATATCTACAAAAACTTTCTAAGTTTCATTGGATGGCTATCCTAACAGAGGTTCTAACTAAGTGCAACACAGATAAAAATATAACTAAAACTTAACAAAATATGACTGAGAGGTGATCCGCTAGATAACGTTATCTGGAGATGCATTTGTAGGATCCAAAGGCAGGTGTTGAGCATCTGAGTTGAAGCTGGGATGGTAACGGACTTGTAAAGAGCAGCCGTCACACTTAGTAGTTCTGTTTTACCTTTCAAACTAGCAAGCTAACTGGCCTGTTTGTTCAGCTGTGTCTTGGCTTCATTGCATCCATGACGGTTATTAAAACATACAGACACACACACACACACACACACACACACACACACACCCCTCTGCTTGGATCTTACAAGCTCTGAATTTTGAAACCAGGTTGCTGAGTCAGTCAACATGTCAGCAGGGAAGTGAAATGCCAGGGATAAAGAAGTTGGCATGACCCTAACAAATTAAAGATGGACTGGAAGCACAGAGCAAGGGTAACGCATGAATTTGCTAACAGACCTGCACTGCTGTGGGCAACGATAGTCCTAATGCAAAGGGGAAACGCTCCTGTGGAGACAAGCTTCATAGCAGCTAAGGCAGCATTACCTCTTGTTTGCATGATCATCTCCTTCTGAGAGAGGCTGAAAGTGTTAGAAAACTGAACCATGCAAAGCTCAGCAAAAAAGGATTTTCTTGGTCAACAGCATAGCCGTAGAAGAAAAAAAATACCAAGATGGGGAAAAAACCCAGCGGATCTCATCTGGGGCCAATTTTCTTATTAAAGAAATGCATACTTTTCAATATTAATACATTCAACATTAAAACATTTCAATGTCCATACGGTTACATGGCAACCCCATAGTAACACTGCGGATTTAGGATTTCCAGAAGCTGAAGGTTCTCACAGTACATGAACCTACGAAGAATGTATTGAGTAATCTAGGCTTGTGGGGGAAAAATAAAAAGGTATTGTCAAATAGGTGGTCACAGGATAAGACCAAACTAAAAGAACATCTAATTTTAGCCCCTGTAACCAGAGAAAGCCATGTCCCCTAAAAAATCACAAGGTGGTATGCAAGGTAAAATGCCAGAGGATATTTTCTATTTCCAGAAAGGTCCTTTAGACTTCCCCTTATCTTATCCTTCACCAAAACCGTCTTCCAATGAACACACTTTTTTAATTACGCAAGGACTTTCCAAGAAAGGGCTTCTTACCTTTCATAATGCCTGCGGGTGCAAGTAGCGGCGCTGGTGCTCCCAGGATTACCGCCTAATTCATCATAAATGTGTTTCCATTGTCGGCGGGCTGTTATCTGAAAAAATGGCAACGGGAAATTCAATCTTGCATCATAGGAGATTCACAGTGCCAGGATTCAGTACACATGCAACACGCAGGAGAGGACAGGCTGTTCTGGAAACCCAGAGACAGAGAAGTCCAAATGAGTATGCGGGGAGACTCGGGGTTTCCCAGGGGGGTCTCGCTCGTGGTACTTTTCTTGACAATAAACATGGAATTCTGCTTTGGGTTCTATATTGTGTCACTCTTAGAGCATTTCCTCTAAGGCATCTCCCTGGATATTTTATGTAGCTATTCCCCCCACCCCACCCCACCCCCGAGGACCCAAACTCATACTCTGATCCTTTAGATCATGTTGATAAAGCATCCAAATAAAATAAGATTTCAGCTAAAGTATCAGTTTAAATGAATCAGAATGAACACTGGTTGCTTAAGGGGCGGGGAAATGGATGGCCAAGGATAGAGGAAAAGAGAGAGGCTTTTCACCAAACTTGCTTTTGTATCTTCTGATTTTTGACCTGTGTGCTGTGTTGGCCACTTCAAACACTAAATAAAATTACTACATAAATTAATTCAATTGATCAAATTGCTTATGGAATTTGCAGTCATCTCTGGCTATATTTTTAATCCAGCTCCTCTAACTACCAAAACAAAACCCAAATCTGAAACTGTGTATGTTGCAACCCGTTTATTTTTATTCCCTTAGGTCAGGAAAACGGGCTATCAGTCCAATGCTAGGAAAACGAACAACTTCCAAAGTGAAAATGCGAGCTATGTCTACTGGGGAGCTGGGTGAACAGAACCCGGCAGCTTGCAATCCACCCAACGGCATACCATGGTCCTGTTTAATTCCTCTCTTTAATTTTATTTTTGTACGTAAATTAAGATTTTACAAAATAACAGATGCATCATCTGGCAAATGATTAATCTGGGGAAACCACGTCATTTACTACATCCCAGCAAGTCTAGTATTTCCTTGAAACAAGGAGACAGAGCCCATTCTGAGGTCCTGGTGAACGTTTCTGAACAGAGTTCCAGGAAAACGCTGTTATTGGAATGTGCAGGGGGCAGGGTGTGGCAGAGGTGTGCGTGGCAGTGGCTACAATCCGAGCCCGGGGCTTCTTTTGAAATATACCCGCAGAGCTGCCAGCCGAGTTCACTTAGGGGCTAAAGGCAGCAAGCCGGGGTGGCGGGGGGGGGGGGTGGATCTCAACTTGCAAACAGGGGCTCTGTCACTGTAATCTAAGGAGGAGGGGAGGGGTGGTTAAATATTACAGGGTAAATGGCACCTTTTCCATTTCAAATAAAAATGCTTTTATTTCTATAAACCGTTCTTGACCCCGAGACAATGGGAGGTTTGCATTGTTCAATTTCCCATGAAGCATTCTTGAACCGATGTGTTTCAATAGTTCTCTCTAGACCGAACCACCTCTTGCATCTCCTGGCAGGTATGACTAAAAATAAAATCTTCCTTTATTTATAGCTTGGTTTAGATGATAATTAATGGTTTCAAGCCCCTTTCAAAACACTCAAAATACATATTTTAGTAATTACTTTATATTTAATTATGATCTCCCTCCAATCTTTTAAATAATACACTTTCAGGCTGGTCTATTCAAGATCCGCGTAAAGGAAGAAGCGAAACTGGAATCCTCTTCCACGTGTCTCTGTTATTCCTCAAAGCCCTTAGCACACTGAGGCCCCTTGAAACACACCTCCATATTTCCCTCCCTCAGATGAGGTGCGTGGGCCCCGGGGAGCCCAGCAGGACCACAAAACAGCCTATGTATGTCCCTGCACGCACTTCAGAGGAAACCATCACTCTTGGCATCCTTGTATCTCTCCAGTGCACTCTATTTCATATTTTACGAAATATTTTCACAAGCGTGATATCATTTCATCCTCCCAGTAGCCTGTGAGGTAGATTATAGGAATCTCATCACAGATGAAGGAAGTAAGACACAGAGAGGTTGCACAACTTGCCCAGGGACACACAGCAGAATGGCCGTGCCAGGACTCACACCAATATCTTATGATGCCAAGAGCAGACTTCCTTTTCACTACATCAAAACAGCCTCCCCATCAGAATGTGCTGGTGAACAGTCCACGTGTACAGCAGGGTGATAATACAGAACCTAGGGACCTTTTGCTTCACGTGAGGCAGAGAACTGTGGAAATCACAGCTTCTGCTACAAGGTCTGACTTTGAGCTGTGGGTCTCTTACTAGTGGAGAAATAGCACAGCAACAAGGTCAGCAAGAATCTAAGGGGATGGGTTAGGTTAATAGTGCTTTGAGATTTTACTCTCACCTAGTAAAACAATAGCTCCTTCTACCCTGACCATGTGTGTATCTAGTTAGAACAGAGGTTCTCTGTTATGTTCACCAGTGAATCATAGATAACTCTCAATTATATTGGGATCCATCCATTCACTCAACTATTCATTCACCAAACATTTCTTGAACATCTCCCATTGGTTGGGTGCTATGCTAGCATCTGGGATGCAACAATGGAAACCAGACCCAACACCCAACATGACCACATCCGTGTGTGTGTGTGTGTGTGTGTGTGTGTGTGTGTTGGGGGATACCAAACATAAATAAGGGACCACACAGATAAAATAATACAGGTTGTGAAAAATGTCATGAACGAGAGACCACTGATGAGGGGATATTTAATGTGTGGAAACTGACCATGTACCCCTCCTATACCTATCATCTAGACTAGGGGGTAGTACCCTGTTCAGCACTTGCCTATCACAGAAATAACAAACTTCTTTAAGAATAAATAATGAGGGGCGCCTGGGTGGCCCAGATGGTTAAGTGTCTGCCTTCGGCTCAGGTCATGATCCCAGGGTCCTGGGATCGAGTCCCGCATCAGGCTGCCTGCTCTGCGGGGAGCCTGCTTCTCCCTCTCCCTCTGCCTCTCCCCCTTCTCATGCTCCCTCTCTCTCTCTGTATCTCTGTGTCTCAAATGAATAAATAAAATCTTTTTAAAAAATGCTTAAAAAAAGAATAAATAATGAATTATCAAAAGGAGGAAAACAATCTTCCTCATACTAGGACTGAAACTGTGGCAAGCAGGGGGCCAGCCTCAAGTGCCACTTGGTATTAGTAACCCACGTGCAGTTGGCTAGCAGTCTGCGTTAGCCCCTGCTAGCAATTCTGGTGTTTAAATACAGTTTTCACCAGTAAGAGTTCATCTGGAGCAAAGACAAGGGCTGGGCCTTCCGGGAAGTGGTCCCTGTTTACTAAGCTTCCACTGGCCAGCCTGGATGAATCAGGCCATTTTGAGATATTTTCTTTCCACAGGAAAGTCATAAAATGTGCTCTTTCCAACTGCTAACTGCTTTTATGCTTTTAAGTACACAGTTCTCCTGGGTACACATCTCCATTTTTTTGTGTCCAGATGTGCTCTTAATTCAAACGCTGTCCATGGGCTTTAAAGCGAGAAATGTCTAAATCCTCCCATTGTCTAACCCACTGTGGGTCCCAGGGCCCTCTAAGGAGAAAGGAAAGGATGCAAGAACTCCTCCTGGCCCAGCTCCCAGGCATCGTGCTCCCACCTGTACCAATGTGCCTCCTGCACTAATATGCTTTCCTCATGCCAAAGTATGCATTTGCTTCGGGTTTTTATTCTGTAGCCCGGAATGTGTGTTATCTCTAAAACCCCACTGGGGAAAAACCAATGTCTGCCTCCTAGAATCTAGCCCCCCGTTCCATTCAGCTGGAAAGTCTGATCTAGCCATGGGGTGAGTTTGACCAGCTCTTTGGTTAAGCTGGAGCCTCCCGGTCATGGTCACGTTTCCACCTGACCTTCTATTATTTTAGGTTTATAAGGATACAAAGAACTTCTGGCTCTGTTTCCTAAAGAGAATGGCCAAATTCATTCAAGCAATGTTTTCTCTTGGATTGTGCTTCCCCTGTCATTTCCTGCAAAAGCCTCGTTTAAATGATAGGGATTCCTGACATCAACCCAGCATTTACTGGCTGCCATTGGAGGGCACTGGGCAGGTACAGAGGTGTGGAGGGGGAAGGTGGAAGATGGAGGGCTGAGGGTGGGGAGATATCATGAAAAGAAAAAGAAGTTACTACTTTCAAGGGTTCATAATTTAGCAGGAAGCATAACCCCATACCATTAACCATAAAGCAAGATGAAAAACCGAGCAGACCGCACCCAAGTAAAGCAAACCAATCTAGGTGTGTGGAGACTTCACCTCACTTTGAAGACACTTGACAGTTACTTCTTTCCCTGGTGTGGGTAAGACCAAGAAACGGAAAAGCACTGTACACCTATTATGTTTATGTATGTTCATTGTTTCTAAACATAGTGGTTTTCAAACCGCTCTTTAGAACCCAAGGTGGCCTGAAACTAACGCTTCACACCTCTGCCAAGAAAACAGGTCCAGTGGGTAGGAAAGGAATCTGTCCCATCTATAGCTTACTTGATGAAAATATCCTGTTATTTAAAAAAACAGCAACAACAACTGGGAAACGATTTTAACCCAAGACATGGCCTTGGAGCTTGGTTTCTTTACCTTCGTGGTTGCAGGGATGAAATAATGTTGGAATTTTTGTGGCCTGGTTAGGAAACAGTGATCAGAAATCTTGCAGGATTCGAGTGTGTCCATGGCTTAAGAATGTAGCAGTTGTAAAGTCAAAAGGAACATTTGCTTGCATGCAGCGTTGCCCAGGCTGCTCCGAGAAACAGCCTCTTTCTCGGGACACCTTGAGGGCGGACTGAATTCAAGGAAGATGACTTTTTTTTCCTGGTAGTACTCCAGGAACTGGAGCCTTTCAAAACTACATGACATCATCTTTGGCCTCGAGAATTCTGAATTAAGCAAGAGGCTTTGTCCGTCCAGAGTACTAGGGTTAGATTCAGAGGATGTCTTGAAATGATGTCAAAGCCAGAATCTCGTGTCAAAGCCTTCCAGCAAGAAGACATGTGACTTCTTCCTCCAGATGAGAAATAATGGCCCTGTCTCACCCGTGGGGAGAGACGGACCTGCTAACTGGCATTCTTAGAAGGCACCGCTTGCATGGTCCTCTGCCTCTAGAATAAGATTTTTTTCAAGACCCATTTCCCTACTCTACCTTCTCTCCAAATATTGCCTCTGGCTCACCATCACATGGTTAGCCAAATGGAAATCACTTTAGCAAACCACCCTCCACACGCTGCATCCTGGTAATACCCCAAGCTACTCTTAAAGCTTTAATTGCTTCACCAGACACTGAAGTGAAGACCTCTTTTGCTCATCAGCACAGCTTTACCACTCTAAAACGTTTGGGAGGAGAAGTTGGATATACGATTGTAAAGGAAGGATCCTCACTGCCAACCAATTAAAATGCCAGGATATTGTTTTTTAGGGAATCAAATCCATTCAGTACATTTGTGATCTCTAAACCTAAGGATGCAGAGACACAAAATTCATTTCCAGCAAAGGCAGAGGAGGCCAAGAGAACTGAATACAGCCATTAGTCAAATGCTTATAAAGGCTTAAAATAAAACTTCTGCTCCTCTTTTTTTTTTAATTCAATTTGAGGGTTGTGAAGGACTGCAATGAAATAATCCATAATCCGCAATTCAAACCAGAAGGTTTGGAATAGTTTATAACCACAAACAAAAACAAGCCAATTAAGATGGCCTCTTTTTATAACCAGAAGGAATTCCAGAGAGATGTCTTTATCCAATCACAAGTTAACACCGAAGAGATACATCTACAAATTTGAAACTTGCAATTTTTTACTATTACTGAATGTTTACATCATGCAGACTTCTTGACCCATCTCCTAAGTTCACACATTTTTCTCAAGAATCAGATAAAATCTCAGCTAGTAGTTAGTGTGTCAGGTAAGGCTCAGGGTAGGTACAAAGAATCGACTGAAAGATGCTACTAACGAAGGTAGGCTATTAGAGGCTTTTCCCAAAATATCACCCAAAATAGGGAGAAAGCACTGTAGATACAGAAGACACCGCTGGGGGTGGAAGGCACAAAGAATGGTCATTTATGCATCTCTTTCCTTCCAATGTTGCTATGGAGGTCATGACAGCTGTGTGCAAAAATCTCAGCAAGTCAGAATCTGAAGAAGTCCACGATGACCCCTCGCAACTCATTTCACCTCACTGTGCCTCAGTTTCCTCACTTGTAAAATGAGGGTATGGACTGGAGCAGGGCAAGTATCTTTCTCTGCACCAAGGCCAATTTGCAAAACATAAAAAGGTTCGGACGGTACTCTTTCCCTCATTCAAAATGAAAATGGCTTATCGGGTCCCGACTTAGCTGGATTACCGCTTTATCAAATGGAAAAACCTTTGTTGGAAACTTGGTGCTGCTTTGGAGCCAAAGAAATGGTAATATTCTGGCAGGCTTCTTTAGTAATAGTGTGAAGACAACTTTCTATTCTTTGATGCTTGACTTAGATGCTTCACATCGTGAAGCGAGGAGCCCACAAAGGCCAGTAGGTGAAGTGGGAATAGTCACTGTTACCATTAGCTTTGAATTAACATCACCCAGAGCGCTTGTCAAAAAGGATTCTCGGGTTCTTAGGCCCAGGCCCACGGCAGTTAACGGCTCAGTGTGGAGGTCTAGACAGCTCCCTATACTTTCAAGTTCCCCTTTGCAAATCTGAGCCCTAGTTCTCGAGTGGCCTTTGGGAGCCACGGATCTAGAAGATTCTAAGATCTCCTCTGAGCTCTAATGACAAGTCTACACTTGCTTCTGCTACCAGATAATCTCACAGATGAATGTCTTTCAATAACACAGCGATGACAACTTCAGTCTTCAGATGGGATCCAATTCTGGACTGACTTCAAAACTGAATCCTCACTGAACATCTCATTCTGTTTATTGGTCACTATATACCAATAGAAAAATGTATTCTGTACTTGGGGGATTCAAAAGTTTCAACATAGCATGCGAGTAGCCAATTGCAGTGCCTACAGGGACAGCAAGGTAGTATGAAGCATTAAAAAAATAAAAAGGAAAGGAAGGAGAGAAGAGAGGGAGCATGGGAGGAGGGAAGGAAAAATCCTACCAACCGGCTTCATCTAGTTTTTGACCCCCGGGGGATGCAGATTTTATAGTTCACAGGGCTAAGTAGATTTGCTGTCTCAGAGGAGATGAAAAACTTGGGGGTGAAGAATGGCAGGGGCCCAAAGAACAATGAGGGAGTTGATGGGTAAATAGAGAGAGAAGGAGGGAAGGAGCGATTCCAGAGGTTGCCAGTCCTCTTTGTGGCTTGGCTGAAGACTTGCAGCTCATACACATCCAGATGGGAAGCAGATGCTGATCCAGTCTCCCAGATGCCCCATCCCCCCATCCCAGCCTCTCTCTACGTGACTCCACCTACACACACAGTGAATGCAGAATGAGGGGCAGAACATAACACTTAGCTTGTTATCAATCTTCTCTGCGTCGCTCCCCCTCCCCCGCCCCCAGCCAGCCTACAGGATAAGTCCAAGGGCTACCATCCGAAAGCCTTTCTCACAGGGCTCCATCCTCTCTGGACTCGCCTTCAAGGTCACTCATCCCAAACACCTGGTCACCCGACTTTACATTACTCAAACTCTCCATGTCCAACATCATTCTACCTCCACATTTTATTTCTCCATCCGGCTTTCTCTTCCTGGAAGGCTGTGAGATAATTCATGTCTAAATCCCATCGATTCTCCAAAATTCTGCTCAGATGGCACGAGAGCCACAAGTCTTCCTTCCCTCATTTCTAAAATGGAACAGTACTATACCCGAACAGGGAACAGATCTTTTTCCACTTTGTCTCTTAATCATAACCACTGCCTCTCCTGGATGGCAAGCAACTAGAACCACTGGCCTATGTGTTCCGCTGATTGGCTGATTGCGCAGTCATTTGTTATTTCGCTCATTCAACAAAAGAAGAATGCCCTGAAACTTATCAGAAGTTTCTTTTGTGTATTCTACACCCACTTGCTGTTCCATGGGGAAAACAGTGAAGATGGAGAAGATACAAAAGCAGGAAAAACAGATTCTGTGAAATTTGTTGGCACTCTATCAGTAAACTTGTAAAATGAGGGTATGTTTCTGGGTTTAAAAAGACATTTCATAATATTGTGCAGTATCACGGAACTTATCCGCTGTTCATACAAATGTGTATTCCTGTTCTTAACATCGAGCATTAGCCTTAAAAATCTAGGCTATGGGGCTGACTCCTAAATCCATGAGGCTAGCTCTGAATAAGTTAACTTTTTCACATGGACAAAAGCTATAATTAGCTTAAGATTTTGCAAAACTATGAGCCACCATGGCAAGGAGTCAATCTCTTTGTCCTATCAACAGATCCAACCAAGTGAAAAATTATATTATTTATATTTACAGAGGGTGTTTGGTAAAACAAATATTTAAGTAAATTCATGTCTATGAAACACACATTTTATAATACTTCATGTGAGCATTATATTGCTTTATAAACAGGTACATATATCCCAGGTCTTAAACATTTTACACACACATTTACTCCCATCTTAGAATCCTGAGTCAGAATTCATGGCAGGTATCTCTACAGTAAATACCAGATTATCCGAATCACATCATGCTTGCCATCTTTCTCATTCCAAAACCCTGACATCAAACCATTATATTAGTTTGTGGAACAATATGCTATATCTGGCAAGAAACCCTGGTTATTATGGTGGGACTAAAAATGAATTTCATTTTCTTGACTCTGTGTCTCTTACTGTCATTTTACTATGATACAGAGATATCCCAGGTTACTTCATAAGGAAAGAAAAAAAAATAATATCTTATTCAATTGCAGAAGAAACTGCACAACTTAATCTGATCATTGTGTGGAGGAGAAAATATTTCCAATGACGACATCTTTCTATGTCAATTGATTTTATTACAGATTTCATCTCTGTATGCTATATTAATACAGCTCTTTCTTCTTCTTTCAAGATTTTAATCTTAGTTTGTTGCTCTAACATTTTATTGGTTCAAAATACATGCTGTAAAATCCGTGGCCATCAAATTTTCCTGTGGGCTAAAAATAACCCATTCCTGTCAGTTAGAATTAGCTGATAAAGAGCGTCAGAGCCTGTTCTGAATAAGTTTGATAACTTCCTGTTTATGCGGCACTGACCCTTGTCTAATAAAGCTTCTTTGCCCTAGAATAAGAGAAGATTCTGCTGCTTTCTATTCCTTAATGGCCAATACTGATTACTTTTGAAAGCCTTTAATACATTTCCCATATTAGACATGAACAGATGTCAGGTATGTTGCCAAGGGAAATTTCTTTTATGCAATCTTGGCTTGTTGTACAATAATAGCCCTTTCTCAACATGGGAAAAAATTACAGACCCAACTAATTTCCCTGACAGGGGAGAGTTACATATGTTTTCCACTTGTAGTTTTTACGACAAGTTTACAATTTTGCCAAACCTGGAACTAATTGGGATCATTTCCAAAAGCGGCCCAATAAACCCCCAAAAGTGTGGAGCCATTTGAGAAGGCAGTCAGGGACGGTTAGCTTTTGTATTTTCTCCATTTTGGTCAGAGAAGGGGTGGGGGAGTTAGATTGCAAAATTATTTCATTTAAGTTGCTTAAACACTTACTGTTTCATATCCTCCCAGTTTTTGAGCAGCTTGAAACATAGTCCAAAGGTTAACTGTTAGAGGGACAATAAGTATTTAGATAAGCATTGCATTAACATACTTCCAAGAAATGTCAATTAAAACATTTTGTTTTGTTTTCAATGAGAAAGAGAAAAAAAAAAAACAACAACCAAAAACCAAAACACTAGTATCCCAGAGAGCTAAGTTCTTAGGAAACAATTTGCCAAAGGGCATTCAACAATAGGATATATTATTACCACTTAAAATATTTCTTAAGAAACAGTCACAAATACGGAAATGGTTCTACTTTGGGGATAAAGGACAACACAGTTTTAATCCTGTTGCCATCCGCAGACCCAGGGAAGCCAAATTACATCGTCCTTGGGGAAAAGAGTGAGATTTCAAAATTAGGGTTGGTCTTGTTCAACCCTTAGAAAGAAGCCATTGATTAAAGAGTACTATATCATGCTTCCTTCAGATAAGAACTTATCATAATCAATAAATACCAGCCACTGTAATCTATGATTACCTTTTTAATAGAATGTCTGATGGCAGCACTATATTAAGAACTCATACCGTATTTCACTAACACGTGGTGCCTTGCAATGAGTAGGAAGACACATATTTTACCCTTGAAGTCTCGGCGACATAACAGATCAAAGGGAAGGAAGAACTCATTCACAGAAGAATCGAGTCCTGAGTCCACTTAGTCCCCTAGGTTGCCCGTGTGATGCTTCGAGTATATACTCTTCTAGAACAGATTTCTCTTTGCAGGGCTTGCATACGTTTATTCTGTTAAACAACTATGCCAAATTGCTAGCAACCCTGTTCATTTGTCCCAAACACCATGGAATGGGACTGCTATGGATTTGACTCTTTTACAAGAGGGGGAAAATTGAATTTCAAGTAATTCCTTGGTAAGGGAAATGAAGAATAAAATTAAAATTAAAAAAAAAAAAGGCTCTTTGACACAACACGTTGGAAAAGCCTCATTGAACCTTGCACTATTTCAAAGCTATCAAGAACCCTGCCTCGGCCCTGATTTAATCTGAACCAATGCATAATGCAAAAAAGCTGTTCATAGTACATTAATTTTACTTCTATTTCAAGCAACCAGTTTTCAGACAAACATTGTAATCATTCGTAGTTATATAAGTTTATAATGGCTGTGAGTGTTCTCTTGCAATCAGTGCCAATTGCTATTAGGTATGTAAATTGTTATGTAAAACATACAGGTTTGACATTCTTCATCAAAATGACACATGGTTTTAATCTAGGAAGATACGTTTGGAGAAAATACAATTTCAAGCCAGGGGCTCATTGCTCTGTGTGCTACAAAATCCAGACAGAGGCAAAATATATATATTCAGTTGTGAAATCAGGACCGGATCTGGGTTTCTTCTCTTTTTTTTTCTATGGAATTCTGCTCAGCTGCGAGTTTCCTTTTCTACTTAAAAATGTATTATGATGCTTAAATGTAATCCAAAATTGGGCTTTCGGTTCAAATCTGGGTATTTCATGTTTCCTCTGAAGTCAGGTTTTTGTTATCTCTTAACAAATTTGGGGCTTAGGAAATACGTTTTCTCTTTCTGGTTGTTTCGTCCACCTTTCAATGATCTCCTCTTTAAAGCTGCTTTTTTGCAGGCAACATCTGGGCCTGATAAAGCGACGTCATATTATTATCTCAGAAGAAAGGCGTTACAGACACTCAAAATTGACAAAACAGAAAATAAGAAACTTTCAACATGTCTATTTCCAGTCATAATCAGTGGATTCAAGCCTATAAATATCTCACTGCAACTGCCCCAGAAGGGAACAGCGTAGCGGAAAGGGGCAGGGAGAAAAATTCCTGGGCTGGATGATTTGTAGATTTAGTATAAACAGAGAGAGCATCATCCCCAGATTAGGATTGCAACATAACTCTGAGTTAAAATTTTTTCCCAATTTAAAGAATAGGAGCAGTTTTGATCTTTCAGAAATGAAAACAAGCATACTTACTCTGTTTAAAACCTAAATAGGGTATTCGTTCTATCGGCGTCTTCCTCTCTTTCATGTATTTATAAAGTGCCACCAAGAAAGCCTGCTCATCTGCCCTGCACTCTTCACCGATGGCAACCTTTGGTTTCTCTTCATTGGAGACTTTTTTACAGTTATTATGGTTATTCTTCGGCTTGGACAAGGCTGACCTGGCCTCACATTTCACCTGGAAAAGGGGGGAAAATATGCCACATCAAATCAAGTACCGCCTCAGAACGCTCAACAAAGACACAGCCGTGACACTTCTCACAGTGCGGGAGGGGTGAGCCAGTAAATTAACCTTGCCCTCAAGGAACTTTTTGGAGGCAACACTGAATATGAATTGTCTCAGACCAGTGGGTGGTAACTTTCCGTAAAGGGCTGGGTAGTAAATATTGCAGGCTTTGGGGCCAGATCGGCTCGGTTGCAACTACTCAACTAGCACAGAAGCGGTCACAGACATATAAGCGAATGGGTATGGCTGTGTTCCAATAAAACTTTATTTATAGAAACAGGTGGTGAGGGGACCATGGTTTGCCACACTATGCCAGCCTTAGAGTCCTTACAAGTACGTTGGTAGGAAACCAGAAACAGTGTCCGCATCTGGTGGGAGTGGGACCATTCTTTTGCCTCTTTACACACTTTTATTTTCCCAAGGGACACCATCTGTTAATGTCATTGAACAAAGCCCTGTCTTCTTAGTAAATAGTCCCGTATTTCACACTTTGAATCAACATGAAAGAAAGTTTACTTCTTCATAGTAAACTTCTCTTGTTGCTACTACTTCCAGCCACCTGAAAAAAACATGTCAATGCCGGCAGATGTTGGCATCAGGAACACCAGCAAGGTGTGTTCTGTCTCTCACTTGAGGGGGATGCCCAGATACACCCTCAGTAGGAAACAAAAGAAACCACTCTAACGGCTTTTTGGTCAGCTCTGAGCATGTAATAGGAGATATTAACTTGCCACAAAGCAAAGAGTAGAGGTCAGTTAAAAACCGAAGAAGAGTAAATGGAAAGCGCCATATTTAAAAATTAATGGCAGCCAACGTGCCAGATGTTGTTCCTTCCACAGTCTAGGTGAATATGGAACTCAGCAAACTGAGTGGCTAACCTAATGTTCCCTGCTCACTGCCATGTTCTACAAGAAGCCTTTGATGGTTGTTAAATATAACGCTAAGTTGCTGAGCTATTTTAATTATAAAAGGGGGAAGTACAAAGGGTCAGACTTTGAGTTCAAGTGCGCCCATGGGGAATGTGTACATTCCGATATTCTTTACATCTCTATATCTAACATCGAAGAGAAGAGGGCAAGTGCTGGGGAAATGTTATGAATAAAAATGTCCCACATATTCGACATTGTTTTCCATTTCAGATTTTTGACCCCTCTTTTTCTTTCCCTTCAGCGTCTCCTTCTCAGGCCTTAAGAATATAAAAGGCTATGCTTATTTATAAAAGGGAACTGTATCCTACTGCCAGGGCTTTCTTTAACTTATTCTCTCAAGTGAACATGTGAGGTTAATATCTTTAGACTGGTTCTGGAAAAAATAAAACTTCCTGTACAATCATTCAACTGGGCCTCTAGATAAGATTTTAATTTTTAAGGGGCTGTGGAAATGGGACTAAAACATTCTTCCATGTAGAATTTTTACTTACAATATTTTCGAACTTTAGTACTTTGTCACATTGCATTAAGGAGACCATCCTGTGAAACTTTATGTCGTCATCATTTCTCACTGTCAAATTTTAGATTGAGTCTCAAGTTCTGATGAAATCTCTAATTTAATGGCTTTTTGAAACCAGAAAATCATTCCAGTTTTAATCTGTATTGCCCCTGGCCTTTCATGAGTGCTTACGATGTAGCCAGGCTCCGTTCTAAGCACTTTTTGAGGTATTATCTCATTTTATGTCCACAACCCTAGTGAGGCTCGTGATTATTCTTGCGTTAGAGACGAGGAAACTGAGGCACAGAGAAGATGAGTGATGGCCACAGGATCATGTCCAAGTTAGTAAGTGGTGAGCTTGGAATCTAAACCCAGGTAGTCTCATTCTAGGGCTTGTGCGGTATTCAACACTATAATTTACCGACACTCATAAAAAATGGAATTGATAGTCAAAACATACTTCCAATTAAAAGCATATCTTATTACTAGGCATCACAAAACCTACAGCTTAGAAACATGATCTATCAAATGAGGAATACAAGATAAAACTAGGTGGTTTCCAAAGTATAAAAGGGCTCCATTCCTTCTATTGTATATTGAGCAAAGGGAAGGAAACCAGTATCAATTGAGCCCCCACAATGAGCTGGATACAGTGCTGTGGGCTTCCCATAGTCCACCAAATGTTCATAACAACCATCAAAGGGAGGCCTCTAGCTCCATTTTACAGTTGAGGAAAATGAAGCTCGGCGAGGTTATGTATTTTGTTAGTCGGCTCATGGGGGCAGAATTCTGGGTTTAGACTCAGGTCTGCCTCACTCCAAACCCTGGTTTTGCACAAACAGGAGTAGATATAAGATTTGCATATAAAACAGGCTGAGTCTTAAATTTGCAGCGATCATGGGCCATTATTTATACTCTGAGGTCAGAAGTACCACTGTTAAGGGAGTATGAGCATTCCCTCAGTGTCTAGATGGCTGCCTAACCTTCTGCCTCAAACTGTGCAGAAATACCCAGAAACAGAAGGAAAGCATGGGCCAGGTGCACAAACCAGGTCCAAAATCATTCAGACTCCCTGCTTTGTAGAGAAGGCTCCTGGGAAAGCCAGGCTGCCGCCTACTGAACTCCATCCTGAACCCCGGTGGGTGAGCCAGCAGGTTTCTCCTCTCGGGGGCAGGGGGTGGGGACACGAAGGCTTTGAAAGAAGTGAGCAGCGGTTTCGTTTCTCGGGCTAGCTCCATACCATTTCTTCAGTTAACATAAAGAAGCCCTTTAGGCTATTGCTCTGTTTCTGGGTAGGACCTAGCCAAGTTCCTTTCTACATATTCTCACATTTACCCCAAATATTCTCATTTTAATCCCCTGCAATTTGAAACAGGAGCTGGTCTTCATGTTGACCTTGAGAAAGACCAACCTTTTGATGGTGACAGTTAATTACGAGATCTGTTTTTTCCCAACCTGAACACCTTCTACTTGTTGAGTTCACTAAGAGCTTTGGGGTTTCTAAAGTGATTGAGGAAGTGCTAATTAAAGCATCCACATTTAATGTTTTCAATGAACCACCACCTATTTGATATTAACCACATCCTTTCACTGGACTGGCAGCAAGATGTGATGAAACAGCATGAAAGAAGAAGCTATAGTCTAATTTTGATGTGCTCACTAACATGCTGGGAGACCCTCATCTTCTTCCCAGTGAAGCAGGAAGGATAATTCCTGGGGGTGGTTCTGAGAACCGAACTGGATGAAACATAGTGAAAATAACGAAAGTATCACATTTGTGAAATATCAAAGGGATGTTTGTGATTTAAGTGAAAGAACATATGGCATACCACACCATGGTTTCCCTTTTTTTGTTCCTTTTAGAATATAAACCACCTGTAATATACTTCTGGCCTTTCGAAAGTGCTTACAGAATGTGAAAAGTCATTTGCCTTCTATCTGTGGAGGCCTTCCATTAGAGGCCTGGACCGAGAAGATTTTTCTTGTACAGATCACCATATGAATGGGCTTGGACCCACATCTGCTGCATAAGATGATCCCAGGGAAATAGCAGGATTTGGTTGGACACTTTCAAGACATCTTCGGAGAACTGATAGCCTCTTCCCTGGGTGACTTTTGCTGTCACGGGATCCTCTGTCCCTAACAGAGTCTTACAAAGCTGGCTTTTACGTTCTCATTGAGAGAGTGCAACCTTTTGATGGCAATAGGCAAATTACTCGAACTGCTCTTCCAGCCATGCAGACCACAAATCCAGGAGGTTCTCATGCTAGAGAGCTTTGCTGTGTGGAGCTGGTATATATCCATGGTTAGAAATAGTCTGTTTGAGACACTTTTGCAAGACACAGTCACACAGGTCTTGGTCATAAAGCCAAACTGTTACTTGAAATATTGCTTCCAGTTCAGCAAGTGATCAGATGGTCACAAGCTTGTAATCTCTATCACAGTGTTTCATGAGAAAAGACCCCTTTAAGACATAAATGCCTTTCTAGTGGTTATCCTGGTCCCAGAGGTGGCCTGTTCATTCTGTAGAGATCTTCCATCAGTCTGCTGGTGTCAACACACAAGCCTGCCATACTTTATATCTACTAGTCTCTTTCTTTTAGTTGAAGTGGTCTTGCCAGACCCGTTGGAAGCAGCCAAGGCAGAATTGTAATCCAAGACTCTGAGAAGAGCTGGGTGTTTAGACCAGTGCCTGGGGGCTGACTGTGGCAGGTGCCTCATCCACTCACCACTGAAACCAACAATGGAAGGGTGATCCACCTCCTTGTAAAGATTCTGAACAGCAGCGTTGGTGGAAGGGGTGTGGAAAGGGTCCCTTAGAAAACCCAGGTTTGACTACGATCCCTCCTAAGAAGTCAGTGAACATCAAATACAGAACAGGCTCCTGTTCTCTTCAGTTTTGTGGGTCCTACTGTGAGTCTTGAGCAGCCTTCCCTGGTGAGAAATATTGGAGGTGCTGGTCTTTCAGATCAATTCGTTCATACGAATTGATGTTTTGTAAAATTCCCAGAGGCATACTTCATTAGTAACTCCAAATGACATGGGAAGGAGCTTCATCCTGCTGGGCTCAGGTACAGAACATACTGGGGTAAACACATGATGTCACCTTGTAGGTATGGGGCAGGGTGCCAACATAAGACACCAGCAGTGCAAGCTCCGCTGAAGGCTAAGATCCTAAAACCTTCTCGGTCCGTTCTACAGTATTGCAAACCACATCACAGGGAATAAACTGTTCCTGCTGACATTCTTTGAGACCACGGAAGCTGAGAGGTAGTTCTAGGGCTGAGATGTCCAAATTACTAGAAAATGTCATTCTTGGTACCCATGTGCACTCATTTGCAAAAGGTCAAAAGAGCAGGACAAAAGTAACTTTAGGAAAGCAGATCTGTGTATAGCCAGAAAATACACATTTCTACTGTTGATCTCTGTGTTTTAACCCTTTGCATTCTTGGAAACACGAAGAAATCCTAACCAAAAAGTCCTCAGAACTTCCTGATTAAACAATCATCGGCTGAAAGTAAGACTTGTAAACTGTGACTGTCTAGGGTTGGCTTCATTAAACTGGGAAGAGGAGTGGTATACAGAGCAGAGTAACAGTAGACTGTCAACACAGAACCAAATTCATATTTTCCTACATCAGAATCTTCCAAATTCACCACTAGTGAAAATGCTCCCATTTTCATAAGCTTACTTCCTGGATCTGGAAACATAGTATCAGTTGAAATCTGGTCTTCAATTCCGGTCCTAAAGAGGTTATTGCTGTCTTTGGCACAGAATCAACACCTAAGTGCAAAGACCCAGTAAACAGAACCGTGCAAATCTGACCAACCTCACAAAAGTCAAAAAGGTAAGTCTAAAAATATAAAGTGACACTTCACCCTTCATGGTGCTAAATACCTCAGGCATGCACTTTCAAGACTCCAAGGAATGCTTGGGCAAAATGGGCCCGGGCCCGAAAAATAGTTTAGAATTTGGATTTTCATTCTGTGTTAATACAGACCTTCAAGAAGATACAAATGTCTATATGGGTACCTGTATCCCTGTAACTATTTTTCCGTACAGGTAAATAGCTTCAGTTTTACTCTAAGGTAAATTAGAGGTGACTTTGAAAAAATATAACTAAAAAACGTAATTCTAGCTATTTCTAATTTCATCCTCTGTTAATCTCTGCAACATATTTAGATGAACACGTTCAGAAACAGGATGGTTCAGCTTGGTCTATTTTTGATACAAGCAGAGTAAACTATGTCATTGTGTCACCTTCTATGAAATCCTCAGCTTCAATGACGTGGGCACTTAATCATCTGTCCTTTACCCAACAGGCCAGACTGGGAGGTGGGAAGCCTTTCTGTTGACTAATCAAAATGCCTGCGCTCCCCCTCCCCCAACCAGCCAGGGGAGGGAACTGATACAGAGAGCTCTGAATACCGAAGCCACATTCTGAATTGAAAACTGCCACCAAGACACAAGAGCAGAGAGATAAAGAGAAAAAGGAAAAATAAAAAGAGGCAACCAAATGGAGAGCAGGGAGCAAACGACCGTACCTTGGCCACAGCCTTGCCATCGGAGTTGTTGTTGGAATCTTTAACACCACTGAACGAATCTCTTCTCTGTGGGCATGGTTTCTTTTTGCGTGGTCTGCCTTTAAGATTTGGCGCTGAAAACAAACGAAGAACAAACTGATGTACACTTTCATTTGCATGGGTTTCCTTATTAAAGACCAAGAATGTTAACAGAGTGGTGTCCTCTAACCTGTTCGGAGGAGCGCACCCATGTGTGGAAGCCAACCCTCACGTTACGCCCCCTTCTCTGAAGGGCTGCGTCTTGGTAGACTCTACAGTTCTTCCCAAAGCTAACATGTCTAATTAGTATAAATAAAATGAAGCTCTTGGCTCTCAAGGACAATAATCAGGAAAATGCACTTCCCTACTGTTAGAAAAGAAACATGTTGAGCTGAAGGACAACTCTAAGTCAGGCTCTGAGATGATTCCTTTTGTTTTGTATATGGTTTTCAGAAACCTAGGTGATATGCCAGCCCATTACAGTATCATAGTAATGTAGCATTTGAAAGCCTCTCTCCTCAAAAGTGGAGACATGAGTGTTTTCTGAAATTATGATCCAAATAAGCTGATTGGATACAAATAAGTAGAGAGAGAGAACAGAAAGAACATTCATGATAACAATCGGAAAGATATTCTTACAGGTATTTACTAATAATATCGCGACCAGCATGTTTTAAATCGCAGCAAATCTGGCAGCTACATTCAGATCAGCATGCTCTCTTTTCCTTTCCAAGAGAGTTTTTATGAAGATTTCGAGGGTTATTTAAAATAACTTGCAAAGATCACACTGAGGTTGGCCTGATTCCGTGAAGATTATACTTTTTTAAAGCCACAGACAAGATGCAAATCAAAGTTCTATTTCATCCTTGATGTTGAGCTCGAATCCCTTTAAGATCCACAGAGAAAGCAGCAAAAAGAGGGCTGCTATTTATCTAGTGCTCCAACTGTCCAGCATCAGCTTTCACATTGAGCTCCATCAGTCACCCAAGCCGAGCAAAATTAAAACAAACCACTAACCGAGCAGCCCTTGAACAATTCCAAACGAATGAATTATCCCCCAAGCAGTTTTCTTCCAGCCCTTTCGAGGCACCCACACTTTTTTTTATTGCTTTAAGGTAGGATGATGACAGCGCCAATTCTGAACAACTCGAACGCTTTTAATTGTTCAACTTCCTGACATCACACAGTTAACCAGGGGTTTTAGGACATTTGATATTGTACTCATCTCATCCACATAACGAGTCCCACTCATTTGATTTTTCTACTGTGGATAACAGCTCTGCTGTTGGGAAAGCTCAGGAAAGCAGAGCTAGCTCCTTTACAGTCCGGCAAAAGTTTAAAAAGTGGCTTGTGGGGCTCAGGCTCCCCCTCCCAAACCTTTTCCCCTCTCCTTCCCCCCCTCCCCAGAGGAGCGTCCAGAAGTCCATCCCCCAAAGCCAGCCTGGAATTATCACAGGTAAACAAACTCACAGACAAACATCAAGCAAAGAGAAAGTAGCGATTACCCATTCCAGTCGACAAACATCTGCCTGAGGATGTCTGTGCTCATGAAAGCTACAGCATGTGACTGCTTCCCGGCCCCGTCCCTGGAAGTCTTGACTTGGTGTGGATGTCAGCTTCCCTCCCAACGCGAACGCGAACGCGAATGTGAATGCGAGCTGCCAGGCTCCGCGCTCTGCTTACAACTCCCCTCCCCCGGCAGCTCCATTACTCATGTAAACACACAGCAGTGACTAGCACGGAGTGTGTGGGATGAGCTCTGAGGACTTTGCCGGAGTTGCCAGACTGGCAGGGAGGGCTCTGCTCCCCTCCCCCACCCCCCGCCCTCCCTGCGCGGCGTTGGTGATTTCATCAGGCCTGTTTTGTGGATCCTGACCTCCTTCTCCCCTGTCACAGCCTCATGCCACCACCTTCCATGAACTGACCCGGGCTTCAGCCCGGAGCCAGGGCGTGGACTATTTTGGTTTGAAGACTCGGGGTAGCACAGAAGTGTTTCCACCACAGACCCAAGTGCTAAGACTTTAATGAGCGTGAGGGAAGGATGTACTTTCATGTCCCTTATCAAAATAATAGCTGAGCAGAAAGCTGACAGAAAGGGAGCCTGACATGGGGTAGGTCTGAGACATTTCACGAAAAAGAAACAAAACAGTATCGCCTCTGTTCTCAGACTTGTTAACTATGATCTCTCCTTCCTCACATTTTGGCAAAAAAAACACTTAAACCTAAAAGCATTTCTTTCCAGAAAGCTTTCAAATCCCAAAGGCCTTTTAGATAGAACTTGTACTGAACAGGCTGTTTTAAATACAGGCAAAGGTTCCGGGAACCGACAATAGGTCATCCTCAAATCGGGTCTATTTTCTCCATTCTTTGAGCTGTTTTCAGAACCCAGAGAAGGACATGCCCTTCCCCAGCAGATTCTGAGAATTTTAAATTTAGAACAGGCTAGCACCTAATATTCTGGTCACGCAAACTTAAACTCTAAATGGGACCTGATCAAGAGAAAAAGCCTTTTGTTCCTAATGAGGCAAGTCACTGACATTTCAGGTAGGCTAGGCAAATCCCACCAATGGCTCAAGCCTCAGATTAGGTACCTCTCTTCTCATCTCTCCTCCGCCCTCCTTTCCTGGCTTTCTCTTCTGGAAGGTACCAGGGTCTTCGTGGTACTTTAGCTGTGGTTGATGGGTTATTATTATCCTCAGTTGGAGGGTCCTTCAGGGCAGGACCATGTAGGATTCATCTGTCACCTGCCCAGCACACACCCAGGAGATGGCATTACATGATATCAGCCTGGTGAATGAATAAGTGACAGATGAAACTAAAGATGCCCACATGTACCTCCTTCAAGTCTTCACGAGCCAAGCCCGCCAACCTGCCCATGTGTGTACCTGTCACACCGGGCACCTGTAAAACTGCCTTCACCTTCTCTATTTACACTTGAGCTCTGGGAACGTAACCCAGCGACTTCCAAGGTTGCTCTGAGAATTGAGACAGAAAACCTAAGGCCCTTGGTTCCTGATGACCGTTAAGCCTTTGTGTCTGGCGCTCGGAAGGGCTGTGATCTTGTCTCCAATGTCCCAGTGCCCTGAAGAGCAGATGTTCAAAGTCCCAGGGAGAATGGAGCCTGCAGGACTAGGGGGCGTGGGTAGCCCCCATAATACAATCTGAAACCTCTGGGATCTATAAGACCTCAGGCAAAGCTTTGGGATTGAGGGGCTGGCTTTTTGCGGGGGAGTAAAAATTCTGGTTCCCAGGCTACTTTTTGTTCTTACAGAGTCAAGAGAACAAATCATTTGCCAGGCGGGTGAGTGAAAACAAATGCTTTATGGTGTGGTGGTGGTCAGGGGTGTGGGAAGCTGGCAGCATGCTTGTTGAGAACACAACTGGCTCAAGTCAGTTCCACTACCAAAAAAAAAAAAAAACGTGTGAAGCAATAAATGCACGGTGACTTTTACATGTGTATATAATCCACAGCCCAGCTCTGGCCTGGCTCATTCACGGAGTTCAGTCAACGCTCTTTACATGAATGTTTTCAATATTACACACGAATAATAATAATAGCTGCTATTTACTGAGCACTTTCTCTGTGCCAGTCAGCACTCTGCATACAATAACTCATTTAAAACTCGCAGCAAACCAACAGGAAGTTGAGATTATTATCCCCATTTTCCAGACCAGGAAACTGAGACAGAGATGAAATTACTTGCCTTAGGTCATGCAACTGGTTACAGGTAGCAGAAGGATTCCAACCCAGGCCGCTGGACTTTATCCAGAGTCCCTGTTTTAAGTAACTTCTGACAGACAGACACTGGCCCTCATTCTGTCTCATAATGAGATATTTATATGATTAACTTGGGCTTGTGGGCACCAGGGAGCTTCCCCCAAACACCACATAGCACAAGGGTGCTAGAGTCCATCTCAGGCAGCCAACGGCATCCTACAGACCTGACATGGAGCAGGGTCCCCATCGACCTGACTCAGCAGCAGGTAAAAGGCTTCCACTAAAGCCACACAGGTCTAATAAAACTTACAGCGCCGTGCACATTCCCCCTTTGCAGTGGGCCACTGATTCTTCTGCCTAAACAGTGAAAGATCTCTGTGGTTTTTAAAAAATCTTTCCTCTCTGACTGCCCATCTGTTCCTCTTACTCAGCGTCATGAAATTAACAAGTACACACCTCTGTGAAGTCACTACTATTTCCAGCGGTAATCCCAGGAGCATCAGTGACCGCCAGTGCTCCGGGCTACTTTGACATCTGACCTGTGTGTTTTGTTTTTTCCTTTTCTTAACTCCAACAAACATTAATAAAATAGAGGTTTTTTTTTAGGCAACATAAGCAAAACAAGGTTTTTGGGTTCGTTTCTTTTCTTAAAGCGTCTAGAAGCTCAGAGTTTTCAGGCATTCATTTATATATTCCCTTCACTATGGGTTCTGACAAGTTATGTGTCAAGGCAGCGCAGGTGTGGGAAACTTTCGGCTCAACCCCAGCTCTTGAAATAATAATAATAAAACAAAGGAAATGTAACCAGTTACTGGCAAAGTAAATTGCTTTTGGCTTAAACGTTCCTGTTTTTTTCTACTGTGTTCTTCCTGTCATGACCGTCTCTCTTTTTTTATAACATTTATGCTCTTGGAAATACCACGAAGATAAACTGCTATAAAAGCGGGATTGACTCATCAGTTAACAACTCTTTCTTCTCATTTTGCAGAGAGGATTTTGTTGCCAAAGCAGCTCCATATTCTCTCGAGAAATTCTTTGTGAGCTTCCACTTAGAGATAGGACTTGCTTGTTGGTGGGGACTGCAATTAGGGGGATGGAAAACCAGGCTTCATTTTCCTAAGAGTTTGACCCCCAGGGTCAATATCTAGAGGAAGTTGGCAGAGCGTTAACTCACTTGATTTGCAAGTTGTGCGTGCGTGTGTGCATGTGTGTGTGTGTGTGTTTTAAACACCAAACACAAGCCAGAAAACTAAACTCCCCTGACTGATGTATTAGGGACTGACAAACATCGTTCCTTGTATAGTACACATTTCTGATAATACTTTGCATTTCTGTAAGGCCTTTCCTCTGAGGATCTCAATTCTCTCATCTATTTTC